CAAAATCCTTTATATTCAAGGAGTGCAAGTCTGGACAGTGTTCTCCATCTCAACATTTGAAATCTAGGCTTGCTATCTCTTTTTAAGGGAGATTAGCTCATTTACACTGTGAGGAGTTTGACTTCTAACCTATAGGCCCAGGAGCTTTCACCAGCACCTTATTAATTGTTAAAGGGGGTGACCAAAGATTATTAGTAGCAGAACTAGTTGTGATCTAGTTTGTACCAAAAGGCTCTTTGACTAGAGCTTCTATTTAGTATTAGGAATCAATGCCTGCAGGCAGAAGAGGTTGCCACCTATACCTTTTTAAACCCTGGAGCCTTCCTTGCATGTCTCCTCCTTACTCTGTCTTCCTTGTGTTTTATTTTGCAACAGGTACATCCAGAAGAACAAGGCAATTTGGGACCTTCCCAGGCAACTATGTGAAGCTTCTGTACCTGTAAAATAACAGTGATCCCTCCATGACAAGGATGGGATTCCTTTCCAGATGGTGTTTTTAAACAGTGAAGAAACGGACAATTTATGAATGTAATAGACAAGAGATGAGAAGTGTTAGGAGGACGTGGTTATGTGGTACACTATTGAGTTGAATGTGTAGCCCTGCTTCCATGGAGTCAGGGTGTGATTTGTTTGCTGAAGAAGAGACAGTTTCTAGTTTACAGTGCTGCCTTTGTGTATTCCTCTCCCTTCCCCGGTAAGAGTTTTGATGATAATCTTAATTTGTACGGAGTACTTACCTCTGAGAAGGCTTCAGGGAAGCACATGGTATAGGTTTTGTTTGTGTGTTGAGATAGGGTAATGCTTAGGGGCAATACTCAGCCCCATGGCTGCTCACGTTCATTGGCACAGTTCGGGAGGCCAGGCTTGCTGCCCAGTTTCTGCCTTGCTGAAGACTCACTTCTCTCTGCCTTCGTATCCATAGATAACCCTTCCTTCATGTCATGCCTCTTAAGACCCAGCAGAGGCAGAGGACAGCTGATACAATTAAATTGCAGAGCTCTGTGTGGAAAAGGAGTTTGGGACTGGTGGCTTAATCCAGAGAGGTCAGCCAAAGCATGATGAAAATGCACAAAAATCCCAAACCCTTTAATAACATATTACTGATCTCTGCAGGGTTTTTTCTTTGGTGCAGGGTGTGTGTGTGAGTGTATTGTGTGAAAAATGAACTGAGTCCTGTTTTTTTGAAAATAAGTCAGCCTAGCTTTGACATATATCTGCACAAAGAATAGAATCAATAAACAGAACATCCGTGAGGGCAAATCCTGTTTGGGTCCTACGGCTGCTCACTTTCTCTGCACCTCTTGCCCTGTTGCTAGCCCTAAAGGATCACACACCTTTTCCTGTATATGCTTTGGGATGAAGACTTTACTTCTTTCCCAGCATTAAATCTTAGAGGCTCTGATAAATCTGAGCAATGTATCACTAAGGGTGCCTTTTTTTTTTTTTTTTCATTTTTGGTTACAGTGTTGATGGTCAGTCAAATAAATATGTGCATTTTGACTGCCTCTTAGCCATACAAAAAAGTCTAATCAATTTGGAAAACTGTTCCTAGCAGTTATTACCAGTTACATAGATTTGTATTTCCTTGAGGAAAAAAAAAAAACATGGCTTGGCTGTATGTTTGCCTGGAAATCCAAATGAATAATCTTTTGATAGACTTTTTGTTATTAAGAAAAAGCATAAACAAAACCAGTTCTATCAGACTCTGCTTCCTACAATTACCGTACAAATAGCAAAGGGTTAGATTGCTATTTTGTCATAAGCCGTATTTAATAATATAAAATGCCTATTTTTATGCTGATGCTTTTATACAGATTTATTAAGAGTAAACTACAACTAACTGTTAGCACGACTTGCAATGTTTTGATAAACTAGCCATGCTCCTGGGTTTGAAATCAAGTAAGCTTGTCTTCCGTCTCGGTCAGCGGAAGAGAAGACTGTGTCTCAGAAGTTTGACTGTAAATATGTATATTTAACTTTGTACAGACAATGTACTTACCTTGTATAGAGAAATAATTTAAACACATTGAGTGAAGGGAGGGAAAAAAAGGCAGTTGTGAAAGGTTGGGATTTTTTTCCACTTTTATTTAAGTGATAGAATTCCATGTATGTTCACATAAAGAGTTTTAGCACAAAATATTCATTATGAAAGGGTTTCGGATATGACACAAAGCACCACTGTTTATTTTCTCCAGGAGATATCTTGAATCCTGCATCTTATTTATGGGTTTGTTGTTCTGCTTTGGGTTTGCCCTCCAGTTATTTGCAACAATGTTTAGGCCTGTTGGTAAGATTGGATAACACCAAATAAATCTATCCAGCAAAGTAACATGTTGATATTGATTGTATATAACATACTCATTTAAAGGTTAATTTTCTGTTCTTGCTCTTGCCAGTTTAAGTTAAACACAAACACACACACACACAACACACATATCCACACAAACCGCAACTTATTTTTGTGTTGATTTTTTGTTTCTTATTGCAGTGAATTACTATTTGACAATTAATAAATGGAATTATTGAATTACTATTGTGTTCCTTGTACGGATTATTAAATAAAATCTACTCTGGTTGTTCCTGTAGCAATGCACTTTTGTACTAGTGCCCTGCTGTAGCTTTGTATCCATACTGACCTGGGGATGTCTGCCGTGGGCTTTTCCACTATCCTGCACCTGAGGATCCTGCTTGTGATTTGGCTTGAACTCACCAGTTCTTCCTGAGCTGTAGGCTGTCTGTGACTTTTGCTTAAAGACACCAAGGTGTAAAATCAGAGGAAATGCTGTTTTGCACACAGATCTCACCATAACATGGTGTCGGGGTACAGTTGCTGTGGCATGCACACAGACCTGGGAGGTGAGGAGTCCACCCCGGTCCACTGGTTTACAAAGGGTCTTATGACCTCAGATGAAAAGACCACCCAGGTTAAGTCAGACAAGAAACTCCAACACTACACAGCCTGTGTAGGAAGGGATGTCAGTTGATTGTGGTCTTACATGTGCTTACATTTTTAACCCTGACTCCAGTCAAAAGCTTTAAGACTCTGCCATCTGGTAGCTGCACCCTAACAGGGCAGGTATGGCTACAGCATTAACTCAGAGGGTTTGTGCAAGGTCTGTGGTGATCATGTCATATCTCCCAGCCCTGCAGCAATACACCTAGCTAGGACTTTTTGGGTGTGCCCTGTGTAAGGGAATGGTCCCTAAAGGAATAGACTGAGGGAAGGTGACAGCTGCGCTGCCTGGGTGGGCTCATTGGGGCCTGGTAACACATGAGTACCCAAAAAAATGCATCCTGCATCTCCACATGTTTGGCTCCTACATGGTGCATGTGCAGGACTGTGCTCACCCTGAAGACTGGTATTTCACAAGGAGTTGTAACTTCTTGGAGACCTCCATCTCAGACTAACCCAAAATTGGACAACAGATTCAGGCTCTGTGATGATACGACCAGATGGCCAGGCAGACAGATAAACATCATGGCTTCAGTCACAATGATTTTAGCAAGTCAAACTATAAACAAACCAATCCTAAAACCAAACTACCAGGCAAAAGCCTCAGGCTACTTTACATGTTTTTAGAAAGCAGACAGACACTTTCTTCTTCTTTCACAGGTCACTTTATATAAAAGCTAAGGGGCAGCCTTGGCTTTGCTGCAATGATGAGCACTGCTTGCCTTTGCTTTCAGCAGCCTGAACAAGGGAGGTGTTCAGTGTCTGCTGAACATTGGTATTTACTGATGTCACTCTCTAACCTAATGTAAGGTAAGGAAGCTAGAGGTGCTAGTGACTGCAGAAGCTGGGCAAGCAGAGAGGGAAAGGTAACCCAGCAGTGTGCAACAGCCCTCTGGCAATCCCACACACTACTGGGGCAAAGGAGCTCTTGGTGTCGCTTTCTTCACTGCCACAAGTGCCACACCAATGATGTGGTGAAAGAACTGCTCCTCTCTGCTAGAGATGAGATTAATAGTCTGGACACACAGACTCTGGAAAGAAATAACCTGTGAAAAGACAAGCCAATGCAGAAAAAAGGGCACAGCCACAATAGGGGATTGTAGGAACAAGGGTGTGCCTTGCAATGGGATCATTTGTGGCCATGTCTTGTAGGACATGGATGACCTGCATCATCCCTACTAGCTGCCTGCTCCATGCTTCCCAGCTGTGGCTGAATCCCAGGTTCAGCTGCAGCTCTCTGATGTTGTGCTTATGGGTGAGCTGTATTCATTAATCCTTGCATTCGAGTTGTAAATGCCAGTGCCGTTGCTGTGACCAATCTCTCCCACTTGTCCACCATCAGACTACTGAGGACTTTTTCCAGTCACATAAATGGAGTAACTGTTTTTCCTGAATCACAGCTAAGAAGGTTGTCTGAAAATCTGTATAGTAGAATTCTTTTTGTTGGTGGTACCGTGGTTAAGGGGCTAGAGATAATCAAAACACTGTCTAAATCAGTGAGCCTGGGATAAATTAGCAGAGGTAATACCCTTCCCAGGCTCTGCCCTCACTCATCCGATTCTGGCGGGGAACTGCAGACCGCTTATTTCCATTGCCCCCGTTAGGTTTCAGAGTTAACATTGCTCCAGGCTGGAGAGTATTTGCCTGGCGATGCCGCGCCAGGGCACTCCTGCGTGCGGGTGCCTGCCGGAGACTGGTCTTGCCTGCCAGCGGGGAGCGGGTGAGGGGGGCCGGGGTTCCCGATCCCGGCAGCCGCCCTCCCTCGGGAGGGCCGGACCCCGAGGCGGGGGAGGGTAGAGCGGCTCCTACCCGGGAAGGCGGCGGGGAGCGGGCACTGCTGCCCGGGGCTGGGCCGGGCCGGGCCGGGGGAGGGCCGGGGGCGGGTCAGGGCCGGGCCGGGGCCGGGGCTGGGCAGGGCCGGGGGCGGGCCGG